AACCTGGACATCTTCCCTGGCAGGGAGATGGGGCCTGGTCTGGACACTGTGCAGTGAGGGAGCTGCCCCTAGATATTTGAGTAGAACAGAGATCACATAAGTAAGTCGTGAGAAGCCCCTGTTGTTGCCACAATGACTTTGCTGGCTATCTGAACTTTAAATAATGAGGAGTTTGCTGAATAATTATTTCTAAACTCTAATTCTCTATATCATATTGATTAAGGTAGACCATATCTTGTGTCACTGTTGTTAAAATGTGGCCAGAAGACTGGCATCTGCCTGTAGACTTTTTGTGAACCTGTTAATTGAGAGTGTTTAGGAACTTGTAGCAGTTGACAGGGTACTTTTATAAAGATTAAGTGTACTACTAATAGATGAGGGCTGGTGTATTCATTTCATTTTTCTAGTAACTCCTTTTATTGTTATTACATTTTACAAACGTATTAGTTTAGATAGATTAGAAATTTTTTAAAAACTGGTCCTTTTGAGAAGCATGGCTGCCATGGGAAGAGCTGGGCTGCAGCTCATATAGACTTGCTGTGTGACCTTTGGCAAATGATGTAATCTTTAGGTTTACATTTAATAAGTTGAGACTTTCTAGCAGAACTGACACTTAGTCTTACAAAGCTAAGTCAGTGATACAAAAAATGTCAAAATTTTAGTTTTCTTTATGAGCAAGATGGTGGGAAATTCAGTCTCAGTTATTATTGCCCACCCCACCTCCCCTACCTCTTGTCTCTCTGGGGCTCAGAAAATGAGGGTGCAGTACTGTGAACAGCCTCATTGCCTAAGCATACAGCAGAGGCTTGGTGGATGAGAGAGTCCTTGCTGAGGTTGGAACTCCTGATCCCCAGCCCTCCTTGTGCCTGCATCTCCATTCCTTGATGCTTTGCTCCCTTGGGGTGGTCCAACCTGGCTCTCTTTACCCCTCTGAATTACCACTAGAGAAAATCTTTCCCCAGAGATACTTTCCTATCTTCAGTGAGCTCAGTCTATGGAAAACTAAGGCTAGAAAAGAGAGTATTTTCAGGCTACTTTTTTTTTTTTTTTTTTTTTTGGCCCCAGTACAAATTTCTGAGGCATGGAAGCGCAAAATGGCCTGGAGAAATTTGGGGGGAAGAGGCACGGGGCTGGGGGGAAGCTGAAGAAAAAACACAAATTAATATCAATAATTTTATAATTGTAAAGTGGGGCCAATAAACCCTTACTGATAGGGTTGTCTGAGGATTGAGTAAGCTAATGCATTGAGAATTCATAGCCAAGTGTCCAGCACACACTAGGTCCATAGTACTATGATTTCCAGATCAGGAGGTCCCTGGCTCTCACTTGTTTTTGCCTGTTGGCTCTTATGTGTTGCACACACAATGTGTGTTTGGATGATTTCATCCGGCTGTGGTTTTTCTTCCTTTCTATCCTTTGATGATACAGGCTCTAAGCCAAGGGTACTTCATCTGGCATCCATGGAACCCAGGCTCCACTCCCACGGATGGACTTCAGAGGGTCTCTGATAGTCTGGAAGTTTTATATGTTATTTCTATTTACTGTTTATTCTGGAATTTTTAACAAACAAATGTTTTTTATCCTAGCAAAAATCTCATCAGATATACTCATCTGTCCTTCTTAGCAGATTCAAATGCAGTAGCTGTGGGGTGAGGACTAAGATTCTGCATTTCTCACAAGCTCCCTGGTGATATCCAGTGCTGTGGGTCCAATGATCTCACTTAAATTAGCAAGGCCAAAGTGGCCTTCTGACTTTAAGGATGTGCCTTTCATTGCCTATTAACTTCACCAAACTTGCCGTTTTCTTTTTTTCCAACATATCTGGTCATCAGAAGCAGCCGCCCTATTCGGGAATGCTTATAATTATAAATATTTCCACTCCACAGCTATTCAATCTGCTAGTCTTGACCTCTACATGCACTTCATTCCAGTCAGCCATGGATGAAAGCTTACATAATTACATAACAGGGTTTTGCCCATCACGTTTGCTCCCACTCATGGAGCCCCCATTTCTTACACATAGGTGGGCAATCTAACCTCAAAATTTTGTGTTGGAGGCCTGCTTTTTAGAACTATTTCCAGTGTCAGTGATTTTTGCAATAAAGCAGAGCCTGAGGGAAGGATTAAAATGATGGTTTATTTGACAAACTCAGGGAAGGGAGGATGAGGAAAAAGGTAAGGGAGTCAAGGAAATATGTGATATAATATAAAGTGTTTCATCCTTGGTTCTTCTCTCAAAGAGCCATGAAGAGACCCAGCAGATACATCTACCCAGCACACAGCAGTTTCCTGGAGGTTGGCAAAAGGAAAATAATAATTCAGGGCCCACCTGGGGAGAGGCAGGAGGGGAATTCTCTGCTCAGCTTTTTTCCTTCTCCCATTTTCCATTGGTCAGGATGCCAGATCCCATAGCTTATTCTTTCTTCCAAACTGGGAGGTCGGAAACTCTAGGCGTATGGTTGGGCAGTCTGGCTGAATCGAGGCATCCGAAAAAAGAGGGGGGTGGGATTCCCAGGGCAAATGACTGGTCAGCCCTGCAGTGGGATTTGAGAGATTTTTTTTTTTTTATCTCTTTGTACTAAGGACAAGGAAAAAAAATTTTGTGCCAGGAAGAAAAGAGGAAATTACATAAGTTGTTCATAGTCTGTAATGACTGACTTGTCCTTTTATGTCCATGTGATTAAAGAACTAGGAAGTGCTTTTAAGTCTGTATCCTTTGTCTTGCCTCAGTATGAGTCAGCTGGAATGAAAGAGGTGGACTCTACTTAATCAGTGCAGATCTGCCTCTCTCCACAAATGTGTGGCAGACACTGCTAACTGATCACTGCAGTCTTCCCATTTGTTGGCTGGGTATACTTCTTCCCCACTCCTGAAGTTTCTTTGTGCGTGAAGATAGCTATAGGAGTACAACACTCCTGGCCTCGCCCTGCTTCCTCCCTCCCTCTGCCTCAGGGATGCCTTAAACTGATTTGTGAGTGTGCAACGAGAAACCAAGCCATTCCTGGTCCTTTTTTTTAAAGATCAGTTTCTGTTCTGCAAGGAGCGCATCACTTATTTCTGTTCTTCCCTATCATTAGTCTTACAGAAGTACTTCTCCCTCACCCCACATACCCTAGTTTTTATCTCAGTTGGGTGAGGGGCCAGGAGGGGAAGGGTGCTATTTCTTGGGCTTTGCCAAGGTCCCAGCACCTCGGGGCCTGCCTTGGCCTCACAATACTCTAAGCAGTGCTCCTGGCCATCACACTCAGTGGATTGGCAGGTGGAATAAAACCTGCTGACACCTGAGTCCTGCAGTCTCAAGTACCTCTTTGGCTAATGCTGCAACTGAGGAGCCATAGAGTTAAGTGATCAGATGACATGCGCTTTAGGTGTTGTCAGGCTTGGGTGTGAGTTCGGTCTTATTCCTTACTCCTTAGGAGCCGTGTGACCTTGGCAAGTTACTGCATCTCATTAGATCCGTCTTATCTGTAAGATGAGAATAATAATATCTATTTCATGGTTTCTAGAAACTAAATGAGATAATATGGTCAGGGTTTCTAGCATTTAGAAAGTACTCAATAATGATAGTTATTGTTACCATGATATACAGGCTTTGGAAAGAGATTAAAAATAAGGGGCGCCTGGGTGGCTCAGTCGTTAAGCATCTGCCTTCGGCTCAGGTCATGATCCCAGGGTCCTGGGACCGAGCCCTGCATCGGGCTCCCTGCTCAGCGGGAAGCCTGCTTCTCCCTCTCCCACTCCCCCTGCTTGTGTTCCCTCTCTCGCTGTGTCTCTCTCTGTCAAATAAATGAATAAAAAATAAGCCTGGTCCTCCTTCTGGATGGGGCCCTTGCCATTTTTAGATATAGCCAGGCAAGTTCCATTGCACTGTTGGAGAATTCTAACATATCCTCTTGGGGAACGTCTGAGGCTACCTCTAATTCTTATTTTATGAATGTGGAGATTGCTTTTCTCTCAAGTTTCCCTTGGCATCAATTTCTTTTTTCAGAGTTGATGCAGAGGGATGAATGATAAGGTGTATTCTCCTTCAGACTTGGGGTCTTGCCCCTTCCCTCTCATTTGAGTGATGTGGTTTACAAATCAGCTCTGCGATACCCTGTCTTTCCTCATAAACCCCCTCATGCACACAGCCAAACTTGAGTACAGAGGCTTTGGACTCAGTGTATGAGAAGCCTCAGACAAGGAAAAGAAAAAAAAAAATCACACTACATTAACAAGAAGAATGGCTTTGGGAAAAAAATACGTATAGTATACAGTATGTCAGTACATTTCCAGGAAATGGTAGCAAATTAGTCAAATCAAGTTACAGATACAGTCAAGAAGTTATCACAAGTCTCCCCTACAAGATTTTGGTGAATAAAATCAAATGACTTATACCCAATATTTTGAAAGTGCAGTGGTGCTGGCTCATCCACAAGTCACTGTGGGAATTGACTTGGAATTGAAAGCTTCCACAATGCAGCATGTGGCTTTGCTGTTGAATTATGAAGTGTCTGTGTCTGTACTGTGAAGTGCTGAACACAGGGATAGAATCAAAGTCCAGAGATATACCACCACAGTCACCGTCTCAGGATACCAGCAGCCTTCCACTTTGCTCAAGAAAGGTTGCATTCCCTTGTGGTCAGTGTGCTTTTGTTTTTATAGTTTCTGATGCTCTGATATTAGAGAGAATTCCTGCTGGGGTACCCTTATATTACAGATATCACATATGCTATAGGTTTTGTCCTTTCTGACTTCAAAAAGAAGAAATTTAAAGACAACACCACTGCTGCTATTGCTAAGTGATCTCGGTATAATATGTCTTTGGGGGCAATAACTCATTCCCAGTATTGTCACCAAAGAGAGACATTTAAAATTATTCTTTTTGGTCTGCTCCTGAAGATTGTTGTCACATCATTGGTTATCTTTATGATTGGTATGTTCTTAAGCTGGGTTGCCGTGTGGAGAGGCAGATTTTCCTACACACTGCTCAAAATATTGTATGTATTTTTTCCAACTAGGTGGCTGTACTGCCATCCCAGAATCAGACTTAGAGGAAAGATCAATAGAACAAGACTCCACTGAACTGTTTACCAACCACAAACACCTCATTGTGGAGACGCCCATGCCTGGTAAGAAAATGGGTGGCCTTCACCAATGATATGTCAGGGATAGTGGCACTCTGGTCAGTTCTTGTCATACCAGAGAGCCTTTTTACAAAGCTGCTTGTTTTCCAACTTCTTCATTCTTCCCCTCAGCATTGGTGCAGTTGAATTTGATTATTTGTATATTCCTTTCAATATTGAAAACTTTTTTCTCTCTCTCTTGCTCTCTTTCTTTTTTCTAGAAGTTTCACCCCTCCAAGGAATCTCGGAATAGTTCAAGTAGAGTTGTCTGGATGAGGGGAAGATGGCTTTTCCAAGGCTGATGCTGTGTGGACCTCATGCCAAGCACAGATGTAGGGCTGGTCCAAGTGCTTCATCCGTCTCACCTGCTTGGAGATGATACTATATAGACATGGGGATTGGGATTTTTTTATTTTGCTGGGAGGACTTGTAATACCATGGGCAGGTCAGTTGAAACTTGTCTTACTGGGAAAAGCTATTGCCGCTTTTTGGTCATCTGTATGCTTATAGCCATCGGATATAGTGAGAGGACATCTTTTGGGGACAGACTTTATAATGCAGAGACCTAGATCCAAAGTAATTTGATACCCCATTTTTTTCACAGAATTCTTATATAGTAAGTGTATCAAATTTAATAAAGCATCTCATTGTCCAACAAAATCTTGGATTTGACTTTTAATTAGAGGGTTTTATAGCTGGTTTCTCTACATTTTTTCTTCAAAGGAAAAAAACTGAAAGGAATTGAAAACTTTGCTACTCCATGGTAACACTCAAATATAATTGTTTTATAAATAAACTACAGAATTTTCATATGATCTATTTATTCTAAAAAATGGAAGAAGGTAAGTTTTTAGTATTGTATGAAAATGTTAAAATATTTTTAGGGAAGGTAGTATATTAACATCCTCTTTAGATTACCCCTGGTGACACCTTTTAAAAATTCAGGTTGTAAAAGGATTCACACATTGGAATTAAAATGTAAGGTTTTTTATATTCAAGAAATAAAGGAGATTTTGCCAATTTCAAGTTAAAATTACAGTTTCAAGACTGATTTAAATAAATTAAAAATAAGTCTGTGCCAGTTTTGGAATGCCTGTCAGTCAGTATAAAGGGGGATATGGTTCGTGGTTTTTCTATATGTGAAATGTCAAAAAACTGCAGAGGATGTGTTATTTATTATTTCTAGCATTCTTTTTTAGGAGATGCAGCAGAAGATGTAATACTTTTAATTGTCAAGCATGGAAATGGACAACTTCTAGCCTTTGGACCAGAATCAACCATTAGGTTAATTTCACCCAGCCTCTGGGGACCAGTAAAAGATGTCATGGCTCCGCGAATGACTATAGTTGCAAAAAATGCAACACTTCTGATCATCTTTAACAACTTCATTCAAGAAAGGTTACAAAACAAGTATATTACTTCTCAAAAAGGTGTTTCCGTGTTATGTCTCTCTCTCTCTCTTCCTTTTTTTTTTCTTTTGGATGTTTGTTTCCTGTGGTTGTTTTTTGTGCTGTGCATATCTCCATATGCTAATTTCTGTTCTCCTTTCTCTCTTTTTTTTTCTTTCTTGAGTCATGCCCTGTTTGTATGTGTCCTTCTAACTGTCTTTCTTTAACTCTTTTTCTCTCTTGTGTTTCTATGTTCATCTGACTTGATCAGTTTTTCTTTTCCTTCACTTATTCGCCCCCCAATTCTTTCCCTTTATTTCCTATGATGTAAAACCCAAATATATTGTTTGATTTGTAATGGTTACTTTAAACATGGGCGAGTGCAGTGATTTCTCTCTCTTTCAAATCCCTCCTCCATTGATTTCCTTTTATTTGTGTCCTCCACGATTGCTCACTTCTGTGAGAGAGTGACTACCAGTGTAAACTCAAAAGGTTTCCTACCTTCAGTTTGGGAATTTAAGGTGACTTTTGTTCCTACAATTACATGTCATACTGAGAGTTTTTATGTTAAGATGTATATTTCTAAATGTTTTCCTGGAAATCATTATCAGTATCTTAAGTCTATTGGCACAACTACTTGACCAAATAATTTTTTTTATTTGAATCACTAGTACAGAATTCTATATACATACATCATACACATATTTCTAAAAAATCTAATTATATTTGCATTTTACTAGCTGCCAAAAGGAAAGAAGGTACTAATTAGCCTTTTCAACATTATCAAATATAAAATATAAGTTCTAAAATGATAAAATAATTTGATTCATGATTTTAAAATATCTTTTGATAAAAAAATTTCCTAAATTTAAGTTATGTAACTGTCTTTTACCCTTGATTTTAGTATGATTTAAAAACATACATAAAGTGTTTCTACTAGCAGCCAAGAATTATGTTATCCTTTGAAGTGACTTTTTAAAGATCAAGACCCAAATAATTGTTAACTGTTCTCATTATTTTGGCACTAGTATTTCAGTCTTTAATAACAATTGTCCATTATCTCTTTCATGTATGTGTGTGTGTGTGTGTGTGTATACATGGTCTTGAAATCTTAGAGTAACTCAGAAAGCTTTAAGAAGTAAGATGATCCAGGTTTCTGATTAGCCAAATAGTCTCATTATTACCAAATATATCAGAATAGGTACTAATAAAACAGCAAACATTTAGTAAATTCTTACTGTGTGCTAGGTACTGTATATGCACGATTTCATTCACTCCTTACAACATTACTGAGATGTAGATAATGTTATCTCTATTTTGCAAATAAGAGTACTGAGGTTTGTAGAGGCCAAATAACTTATTCAGTGTCCCATAGTTCGTGTGTAGCAGAACTGGGATTTTAATCCAGGCTGATTCCAAAAACCCATATACACACCCAAAATGTAGAGATTATTGGTAAGACTACAATAAAATACATTTTAAACCTGAAGGTTTTTGGTCCAGGATAGCTACATTTTTTAAATTTCTAGTATGGTTATTTTAAAAATATACCTATTTATATTTCTCCTTTAGTGAATTACCTGTTCATGTTCTTAATTTTGGGGGGAGGTTGGTGATGGTGGTAATAATCTCCTTACTGAATTTTAATAGCCTTTTGAAAAATCATATTAGTCTTTGGTTGATCTGGTATGATATCGACACTGTTTTCAGTTTTTCACTTGTCTTCTAGTTTTGTTTCTCGGTTTGTTTTTAAGGTCGTTTTCTAAAATTTAAGTAGCCAAATCTATTAACCCCTTTCTTTGTGGTTGCTGTCTTTGGTGTCCAGCCTGGGTGGTCTGATACCCTCTCCTGCCTCTTTTCTGTGCCAGTATAAGGTCCTGCGCAGGCTGTTGGGTTCTGTGCTGTAGCAGGCTTCAGTCATACAGATTTTATAAGACACAGAGCTGTGTTCTTTTCTGCTCTCATATCTCACAGAGTTTTATATGAAATGCCTCCTAGGTTTTACCCAGCTTCTTCACCCTGGGGAAAGTGACCCAAGTAATAGACCCCACAGTTTTCAAAATCCTGCTCCCCTCTGATGCTTGGCCCCTCCTGTGGACTCTCCTTTAGGATGATTAGCTTTCCCCAAAGATTCTTTAGCAGTCTTATAATTAGCCTTGCCCGCTCCCACACCAGCCGCCAGACATGGCCAGACATGTTCCCATCCCATGTGAGCACAAGTTGGGCTCATGTTGGGTGTGCTATGCCCACTTAAATCTATATGTACAGAGGCAAGAGAGGCAAATCATTTGTTACGGAGTCTGTGCCCCAATCCCCCCATTCTCTAAGCTTTTTGGTTCCCCAGCCTCACAAGGGACTAGCTTGGTGTTTCCATAGGTCAAGTATACCTGGAACCACAGGGGATCCCTCAAGTTGAGGAACATCAGATTGTGTTATGAATGGCTTTGTTGTAATTACATTAATAAAAAATTATTCTCTGGATTAAAAGTAGCTAAGCAAAGAGACCTCTTTTTTTTCTTTAATAGCTGCCTCTGACTAGTCAGCAGTCTATCACAGTGCATGTGATCCCTATCACATAAAAATGTAGGTGAAGATGGGCAAAAAAATCAAAGTAAAATATATGTGAGGAGTGTTTAAACTCCTTAAAAAGCATTATATAAATACAGGATTGACAGTGGTCATCTGCCATGGCACCGTGTCCTTCTTGTGAGCCAAGCAGTATTATCCATGGCCTCCTCTTCAGAGATGAAGGGTGTATCCAAAATGGTCAGAGAGCTGATGAGGGACAGGCTGATGAGAAGAGCCCAAACTGGGGATTTTCAGCCTTAGTTGCACCTTACGATCTCTAATTTTCTTCCCTTTGCTGATCTGTATTTTCAGAGTATTCTGTAATGAATATGGATTTCTCTTGTAATAAGAGAACAGATCTCAACCTTGTGTGTATCATTCAGGATATCAGTGCTAGTAATGCACATAATAATCGGTAATATACTCTTGTTACTTAGCTTTTGGTATATTAACAGCATGAGTTTTAGAGAAACTGCTTGGACATTGTACTCCAAGAATGCTGAAAGGTCCAGAGTAGACGTATTATCATCAAAATAACATGATTATTATGATCTGTAGCCGTAACATGAGCCTAAGATTATATTGAAAATTATAGTTTTTTTTCTTTATGTCCTTAACATCTTCTGATGCAAAAAGCAAACATATCAATTAAATATGAAAATATTAGAGAGGTTTCTGAAAGAGCAATACACAAGGCTCAGTACACAATTTAGATCGTGTCAGACGCTGTCCTTTGTATAGCCTTTTTGTTTATGCAGTGTTGAATTAGCTGGTGTTATTTTTCTGTTTTTATGGCTGAATCATGGAAGCTATGTGACATCCCATGTGTTAAGGGATTTGTTGAGTTGGACTTTAAAAGGTATAACTTACAGTGCAGCACAGATGCCAAGACCTAATCAGAGTAAGATGCCTGTTGGAGTGATCACATCCCCCAGTGCTTCATCTGTGCTCCAGAGAGGGGTTTTCTGTTCCGGCTGATGTGGGAAAAACGTTGCGAAACCCCTCATTCTCAGGTTTGCTGTTGTTTCATTTTAATTATATTCAACTCAGACTCCAACCCTTCCTCCGAGGCTCAGTCTGAATAAATTTATCTCCTCACTTGGATACTAAGAGCTGCATTTGAGGCCCCCTTAGAACAGTGGGGACGACTTTGTGGGTCGTGCCTTTTAGTCCCGTTTTCTGGCTCCTTATTACATTCTCCTCCTTTTTCTCTATTTATTTTGCTCCACTTCTCACTGTATTCTCTTTTGTTGTATTGACAGGTCCTTTAAGCACCTTAAATCATTTCCGTAACAGGTGGGGGTGAATAAATCAATATTGGCACCTCTCAAGATTTTTCTAGTCACTGTTGCTGGTGATCATGTTTCCCTCTTGAAAAGTCCTGAACTCCCTGCCTCTCTTAAAACACACTATCCCTCACTTACTCTATTTCAGAAGTCGAATTTTTCTTTCCAGCTGGGATGGATTTGCAGACTTCTTGGACACGACTGTTCTTGGATTCTTTTTACTGATTAGTAGATTTATGCTGTATTAGTAAATCAGTCTCTTAAAAGAAGTCAACAAGTCATAGAGAAATGGAGAAATCTGTAATCTTACTTTCCTAATTTATTTTTGCAGATTATGCAGAAGAGGCTAATAAGACTCTCCTACTATATTTACTTAACTTTGGCTTTAAAGAGAGATATGATTCTTAGAAATTCAATA